ACAGTCTGACAGACATTCAGTGAACATACGTAAAAGACCTTCAACTGATTACACAGACTTATATCTTAGCGTAGGCTTAGAGTCATAGTGTCTCTGTGAACTAATGATTCTGTGGATCACTAACGTAGATGACCTATGTCAGACGATTTGCGCTTAACTCGAGCTAGGCGATAATGGTGTGACTAAGAGCTAACCTCGAAGTCACACCTCGCGGTCAGCACATAAAGTGGTTTACCCTTTTGTGATATCAAGATAATATTGCTGCTTTGAAGATCGTATAACACAAAGGATATTATTACAGAAGTATATTCGTCAGAGTATGTACAAGCGAAAGCGTGACTAACACCGAATAGGCCAGTCCATGGCATGCAATGCGGTTAACCGATGCGCGTTGGTTGACCTCGACCTTGACGGGGATCGATGAACCATTCAACATTCAGTGACCCAACTGCCAGATGACTTGGCTGGGGCTCAGTGGCATTTCACTGGCCCCAGAATTCCTTCATGCTTGGTGTGTGCCTGATTTCGAATTCCAAAGAAGATGCGTTCGTTTATGCTCATCTGGTCCTACTTGCTGTAAATTGCACAATTTCGATAATTAATTTATAGCACTATTGTTCAATTACTTCAATTCGTCACACTGTACCTCTTATCGACTCATAAAAATCTCAAACTCGGGATTGTACATGGAAGGATTGTTATAGTAAGCCATAAGAATATTTTCTCGTTGAGAGTTTGTACGTTCGATATTCCCTACAACTACGTTCATATGCTAAAGCTTAACAAGATTCACTTTGTAAACAAATTTTGTCATATTCCGATTTTTTATTTTTTAGTTCTCACATCCGATGTGTCTACCAAATTGATTTTCTATTTTTACTTTAATCCTTTCAGATACACACTCTCTATTTGAATAAAACACTGACTGTTCAAAAAACATACACAATTCCTCGCCTGATATTTCATTTCTATTTAGTCAACCTTCACAGTGACAGATCACTTACAAAGCTATCATATATATTTGTATATCATACTTTTCGCGTTACTGAATTATGTACCGTATGTCGCCTTGAACTGTATTCCATGTTTAAAATGTCTGACCGATAGGTCCTACGTCAGAACCTCGCGGTGCAGGATCGTGGATGCTCACCGCTGAGTAGTCCTATGCTAGAACGAAACGGTCATCCGATGCTTCCTGGTTTGCCGTGGTGGTCTAGATATAATGAACTTGTAACAGCATATGTTGGTTGGTTAAGAGTTGACCTCAGACAACCAAGCATATGCCAAAATAGTATAGGTCAAGTATTCATTCACTTTCTCATATTGCATGGGCGTTATATTTCCTATTATCTTATATTGAATGTTGAGAGGCTTTGTTTGGCTGAACAAATAATCCCACGCTGCACTGTGACTGCGCTAATATCGAAATAAAGACCTATTCACTACATGTCTTGTTTCTTCTATCAATAGCACGAGGGTTACCCTAAGGCACGAAAGACTCATGAATTAAACCATAGAATCACAAAAATCTTTACGAAACACCCCTATGCTAATTCTGTTGTTGCCGGAATCTATTTGTTCAGATTTATTTGTCTATGAATCTCAGTATTTTGTGCAAATACACATCCTCTTAAGAGTCGGAAGTGAGTGTATCTATCCAGTATTGAGGATGCTGGAAAATTCGTATTTAGAATAATTTATTTGAACATACAGTAACATCTAGTGGAATTTGTGACATTTAAATGTAATTATTACTTGTTAAAACTTCTTTTATGATTATCACAAGTCCCAAATACAATGTATCCGATCGTGCTTACAGTGTTTTTATAAATTTTGATGCAGAATCACACATATCTGTTAAAACGTGAATTCCACAGTTTCTGATTTTCGTAGATCATTGGTCTCTGCTATTTGCCCCGATAGCTTTAACATATTTTGTTTTTCGTCGTCGTTTCATCATGCATCCCGAAATTTCCACAGGACACCACATTCTGTTTCAGCAACCTGAAATGCATTTATTCATTACGAACACCTCGTATTAGAAGTTGTTGAGTTCACTTGGGCGAGTGTAGTGTAACGCAGTCTCCATCTGTTCGCATGTTTACGTAATGTGCCAATGCATGAAAATTATGAGTCATTTCTAACGAAATAGACCGTGTTTTTGTCTTTTTGGTGTAAATCTAGAAGTGTTTGAGTTTTTGTAAGTTTTTCTGAAAACTATAGCTTGACCATTCTCATTGAGGATTTTATTATATCAGCTCAAGGAAGTAGTACGAATGAGCAAAACTATCTATTATTTTATTTCAATGATGGATTATTTGTTTTGTCTTATACCTACTCGGAACTGTTTGTCCTACACCGTATTCGACAGATGCACCTGGGTGACGCAATGATGAAGTATGAATACTCAACCTTCGCAAAACCAACCGGTCTAGACCATGCACTTGCCAATATATGAACCAACTTCATTCGTGATTTCCGGTCTAGCTGGAATTTTGACCACAAAAAAATTTCACTGGCAAACGCACTGTCAAACCCCGAATGTCCGCGACATTCTTACTCTCGATGTTTCGGTAATCAGTCTTTGATAGTCATCAGTTGGACGTCAACCGTTACTGTTATTTTTAAGCGCCATGTATGAGGGAGATGCCTATGGGCTGATTGATGGTTGGCTAATTACCAAATTCATCGTGTGGTCAAATTCTTTTCCTGACAACCATTGTTTTCTGTCGCGGTTTCGAAAATACAAATGGTCCAGTAGTCATGATAAGTTTTATAACTTCGCTGGTTACATGCGGTAATTTTGGTCGCGCTTTTCAAATTTCGGAGTACTTGTCGAGTGTTCTTTGATTGTTTGGGTCGATTGTACACTTAACAGTGACTAAGGATATTCCATAACCAGAAAATAAAGTTTCACAAACAGAAAATATATGATATCAGTTTTGATTGACACAGAAACATCTGCAATAGCGAAAATTTCGTTATTTATGTTTGGTTAGACCCACTTTGGTAAAAAAAATTTTCCTATCGTATATGGTGATTGTTTCTTCATTTGCCACCCGCAAGTTGAAGGCCTGTTCTTTGAGATGGTCTGGCCTCCTATTGTGCCAGTATAGACGAGACAGTGAACGTTCATCATCACTTCAACGATGTATAACAAACAGCTATGTCCGTGTCTATGGTTGCTGTTAACGCGTGTCTGTGATAAGTTTTGTGAAAAGTTTTTTGTGTTAAACGGTTTAAGGATTGAGAAATTGCAGTTTTTACCCCGACTTCTCGAAGACACACTGTAGGTATTGAGGTGCTAATCGGGTTTATCTGCCTCCCGTTTTACAGATACAGATCTTGCTCATGACAAGCTTCTTCGAGGAGTAAGGGAACGTCTGTGACTACGATGAATATTACGATAATGAGTCAGAACGTGATTAGGATCCGTTACGTCATTTTCGCTGCCTGGGTTTTTTTCACAGGATAAACCTCAGTGGTAAGGTTTTGGTAATTTACTGAATCCGCTTGGGATATAAAACTAGCTCGTATACGGCGTTATTTTGGGATGGGACGAGAATTGTCTGAACCCGTTAAGGATCCACAGAGAAGAGCTGTCTAAAAGGAATCTCGACAAAGTTCCATTGGTTGATCTTTCGCATAGGTAGAAGCATTTCTGTTGCTGAGCCGTGTTAAAATTCGATGTAGCGGAACAGCTGGTTTAACCTTTGTTGTTTGGTTAGGTCTCAACATTTACAAATAGATTTTTGAAGTGACATCAGGTTCAGAAATACTACTGATAATAATACTAGGTGTGACGTATATGGTAGGATTGCGCGGTAGCGCTTTCATTACTGCGAGGAATCGTGCAAGTGGGCCTATCAAACCGTGCTCGTGGACGTCGATTTGTAAGTACCGGAATCGGGTTCGAAATGTCATGAGTTGCAAGGTGGGGTGAAATATCCTTAACATCAAACGGCTTTGGTGTCTGTTCCACCATAAGGAAGATAAAATACACAAATGGGTGAAAAATACCCGCATGTAGAAAAATAGCACCACTATTTGTTGAGATAAAAATGTTAAAAAAGCAATATATAACGTTACGAGTAACAGACTCACAGTTTATTGTTTCATGTACCGGATGACAGCAAGGTAAACACTAAAGATGCCACGGGGATTTTGGATTTGATAACGCATTTAGCTAGGGTGTGTCTAGTAACACAAACGGGGTAAACATCACTGTTGAAGACTTAGAGAAACATTTGTTTTGTCGATTTATTTGCTGCTACAGGTCTTTCTATCTTGTAATCCCTGTTATCTTATATTAACATCCACCTTTCGATGTTTTAACAAATCTTTCCCCATGATAAGCATTGCAAAACCTGCAATTTGAAGACTACGTTACTTGAGATAACCTGGATTAACATTGAGAATTGTACAATTTTCAGTAATGCGGTTATAGATTTTTCATCGGATGTGGATAGTTAGAACACTCCCTCATATTGAAACCGAAATGAGGATATTGGGATAACCCTGCCTTTTTTAATTATTGATGCGAATGCGAAATTTAGCTACTACATCCGTGATATATAACGGTTCGTTTCTGTCATAAGGTTTAGTTGCCACGATCACATGTGGTCGGGGTATTTTACCAAGGAATCAGTCTGGTTTTAGAAAAATAACTGGTCTTCTATAGTTGCGGGACGATTTTATGTATTGGTTATAATCTAAAAGTCTTTTATAGTTTATTTCTGATCTTTTCATATTAGTTAGCGATTATTAGTGTATAGGATGGTTCAAGGATTTGAAGAGATCAGCAGGGCAGCTTTGAGACGTCTAAAAATTTTCCAAGACGAGTCAGACATAGGTTTGTGAATTTATTGTTCATATTATCAAAGACATCCTGGTAACCAGCCATGTTATTGGCTATTGTACAAACGGTCGCGATAACTGCAGCTGTTTTAGTTTTGAAAAGGATTCAATCTTGGGATATTTTTATTAGTGAATTGTCGTGTTGAATAGAGAGGCTCGAGAAAAAATTTAGAAAGAACGTATAAAAAAATATTGTTTTTGTTTCTAGTTCACAATAAATCAACTAGGTTGTTTCAAGGTAATAATATTAACTAAACTAATATTTCTTTGTGAAACAATTTTATTTATATGTACCAAACGTACTTTATGTTTGCAAATACTGGGTTATTTCTTCGCAAGTCAAAATATGCGATCATAATATAGGACTAAAATGCTTATTTGAAATGAACTATCCAGAATCTAAAACATAATACTACAAGGAAATGAGTGTACAAATTTGATACAAAAATTTGTTGAAACCTCAACGTCTGTCTCGTGACAGCTATGCAAGCGGGTATTCATGGTCTTATGAGTGATATATGGAGAGTCTTTACAAGTTCATTTGTTTGCTGGGTCTCAAGTCATTTTATTATCATGCGTCCGATGAAACATATTTCACTATTGTATCTTTAAATCTGTAAACAAACTTTTCGGAGAATCCGCGACTTTTCTGGGACGAAAGGATAAGCATTGGCTTGCACTTGTTTTGGTTTCTGTAGAAGTTTTTATCTAGCCATAAGGTACTTTATGTACTAGGAGAGCGTGCAGCGTAGATTGAGGAAAGCTGTAAATGAAAGCAAAGGAAAAAATGAGTATGCCATACAGAAAGTGCATAAAATACACTTAAGTTTATTAAGGAAAGCAGTAAATAACTATCTGAACTAACAAAAGTTTTGAGTTAAGACAACCTTAGAATCGAAACTAGAAGCAGATAGCTCAATCTACTACATTTGACAGTTTTAAATGATTGATATCGTTTTACTATATACAACAAAGCTTCTCAGTTAAACTGAAAGTCACATTGTGTTATTTGCCTTGAGATTGTGAGTGGAGAGGTTTATTTTAACTCAACACATTTTTGCTGTTCACGACCTTCTATTGTTGCAAGTTTTAGCGTATCCTTAGCTTAGGAATGCTGAATTACTCTGGGTTTGGAAACACAACTAGTCTCCTAATTTGGAAAATTCAAGATATTTCCATATATGCATGAACATGCCTGGGCCTTTTAAATGAACTCCTTCATAGGTGTGGCACTCAAAGCTAAAATCACGTGAACTTTGCTCCTAATAGGAATATTTAATACCTCACTTCGCAAGGCATACAACTTTGACAGGTTACGGTGTAGTTGAGATATGAAACAAGAGAATCGCTAGCTTTCTTTACTGGTATACAAACAATACCAAAACTAACCATAAAGTTTCTTCAGAAAATCTTTCATCCAGTTTCTAGGAGAAAGCTGTTGTTCATTCATGGTGCCATCAAGTTATTAACGAGAAGAAATTGGGGTTTGACAAATTGCTGCTTGATCACACTAAAAGTGTCTGTACAATGCGAGCAGACAAATTAAGGTATTTTTCTGACAATAATTTAAAGGCAAATAAAGTGAATATATTTAATGGATGTTATTGAATTCAACAGTTCATATGAATTGTATTTGACTTTAGTCAGCTTATGAATTTAGCCACAGGATATATTGCATAGATACAGAGAAAACATACATTTCTTTCTGATTGATGTGATGAAGATTAGAGGTACTGTATTATTTTGCACATTCACAAAAACCCTTGGCAAATGTGGTGTAATAATGTTTACTTACATGACTATAGTGTCATAAAATACTGTGAACTTGGTCTTACTTCATCATAAACATCAAGCTACAAATGTGAACCGAATCCAGAATATTTACTAGCAAATATAACTGATGCAACATAACTTATCGAAATGCTATTTCTATCCCCGTTAATATGCATTCACGAATATGTTTTCTTTTTAGATTTCTGCATATTTTTAAAAGCGTAATTCTGTAGAAGTCAACGTCGAATTCTGTAATAATAGAGAACAGTGTGCAGAACGTCTTGCAATAGATTGCTGAACGCTATTAAAGCAAATCTCTAGCTTTATCTTACTGTAAAAGTGAGCATGTATTTGATTATCTGTAAGTCAAAATGAGAAATATTGTTTGGTTAAACAAGCTTCAGGTTATGGATATTGAGTTAATGATAGAAATTATTTGGTTTTTTTTATTCTTGTTAATTCGTTAAACATTAGAGCAGAAAGTGTTTTCTTGAATCACACGACAAAAGTTTTATATTGCTGTTAGATATCCATCTACTGTTTGAGTTAGGTCCTCACTTCTTCTTATCTAAAGTTGTTTTAAATATAGATTCTAATCAACTAAAGGTATTTGACAATTTACAAGAGAAAAGATTACAGTTTGTTTCTAAAACAACCTTAAAACGTTAGAATCAATCATTTAATAAATCATTTATCAATTTTCAAAAGTTGACTACGATGTTAAAAACGTGTAGTTCATAATTCATTTTGCTTTAAAAGACAACATTGGTAAAGTTTGGCCAAAGTCTAATGAATAAGAAACAAACTTTATAACACTACATGGCTCATATTATTTACTTGGTGGGTTTAAATATGGCACTATTATTTCAGCAGTACAAAATTTCAAAGGCTATTCAGCCCTCTGCAACGTTTTAAAGTTTTTTCAAAAATAATCCCTAAATATTTACTAAAATCAGATGAAGGGTCTTTTAAGTAAAATACCGACTCTTAAGGTCAAATTGCCGATTGATTTTTGAGTGTTCTCCTTTGTATTACAACATACTTTACTGGTAGACCTCAATTTGTGGTTGGATTGTGAGATGATGTCTACCTCAGAGTGAAACTACATTTTTCCTTGTCAGGAATAGCAGTAACATCTCATTACGTTAATTACTTATCTTAAGATTTATTGGTCCACAATGTTTATTGCCCTTTATAATCAACGTACTATTCGTAATAATAAGTCTATAGGGACTAAGAAAGCCCTTTATAATCTCGGTTTTAGTCCATTTTAAAAATAAGGCACTGGATTTTACAGACGAGAAAACCCTTAGTATTCAAAAATAACCCACTCAGTTTGCTTGAAATTTCAAAGTCATTAGACGATAGTGTCTCAGGGATTATTCAAACAGTTGACGAGCTAAAGAATGGTATTTTTCTTTGATGAGATGGTTGCTATCAATGCAGTAGAACTCATCTTGTGTGCCTAGAAGCGAACAGTTGTCAACTTATCTGTATCGCGTTAGCTTTGGTAACTACTCCTCCATGGTACATTGCCTGTCTATTCCCTAATTATCTGTTCCATTTCAAAATGGCGTTTCTCTCGTTGCACAGGCCTTATCCCTCCATTCACCTATTTAATGTGTGTGTATTCTCTAAAACTTTATTATCAGTTACCATATAACCTATTTTGTCAGGTTTTAGGTCCCAGGTAATTTCTAATCGACTTGTTTCAATCTCCAGAAAGTCCATTCAGTGATCTTTTCTATAGGAAAATTGCCTAACTTCCAGATGAACATTACCATTTGAATAATTTACTGTTACCGACTTGTGTGATGCAATATAAAATCCTGTTCTACTCGTTATTTTGATTGAGATCATGAATTGATCAATGTCAGACCACTATTCAAAGCATGAAAGCACTGAACGGCCGTCTCGTCCTATCATGGGACTTCTCAAAACTACGCGCCCACAATCCTACACATAAGAATCGAACCAAGGACTTCCGATCTTGCATGCAAACGCAGGTGTTAGGCTCTTACCCGCTGAAGACAATGGAGGATTGTCGTGCAATATCGTGGATTGTTTGAAGTTAGATATTAACACCTTTTGATGCCGGCTCATTGGTCTAATGATTATGCGTTTGCAAGCGAAATCGGAGGTCCTTGGTTAAATTCTTATGTGTAGGATCGTGGTTGCATAGTTTTGAGAAGTCCCATGATAGGACGAGATGGCCATTCAGTGCTTTCATGCTCTGAATAGTGGTCTGACATTGATAGATTCATGATCTCAGTCAAAACTCAATAATCTCCACAACCTTATAATGATAGTTACTTGTTATTGTTTTATAATTCAGACTTAGAAACAGTTAGTCTTCCACAAATTAAGTATATTAGTAAGAGAATATTCACTTCCTTTTTAATCAACTGCCGTTACTAAATCTGTGGATTCATTTCCAGAAAACCTACAGAAATTTAAATAAATATTGTTTGCATAGGCATATTTGCAATGAATAGTTTACCCGAAAACGAAATCAAAAATTATGGAAGTTTAAAATGCTTAGTATCTCTTTGTTCGTAATAAAAGCAACTGAACTTTTTCCGTAGGATTCACTAGTCTACTTATTCATAATTGAACTATCGACCTTATTAAGAAATGACTGAAGATGGCTTTTACATAGTTCTATTTTGTAGATAATGGTTAACTTTTTTAAAACATCTGAAGGTACGATCGTGCGTTGATGGTATTCAATATTATTCTGAGGTGCGACGAATATTATTTTAGTTTACATCTGATAGTATACAAATCTTAGAAGACCAAGGCTAAAAAAAGTAACTCTTCTGTGTTTCAAAAATTCTTCAAAAGTTTCCTGATTTATACTGATCTTTGATGTACAAATATTCTACAACAATAAAGTAATCAAAGGGGTCACACCCAAATATTTTATTTCGCTCAATCATTAACGTTTTTAAAATCGTTGCTAAGTGACCAAAATACCATTGATTCTAGAAGTTAACAAGTTACTCAGTAGTACAGATCAGTCATACATTTTGCTGAAGTTAAATCTGATTTTATGGTCAATCCTAAAGTTAAAAATACATGAGTCACAGCTTTAGGGTCAATTTATCGTCCATTTCAGAGGCATCTCGTGATGATCTGAACTTACTGGATTCCATTAAGAATATGTGTGCAACTGTTTACGAGTTGCAAAATAAGGTGAAACAATTATTTGACTCTCTACAGTAATCCTTTTACCTCCAAATAAATTCAGTTTGTGATGAAAATGATCTAAATAATCAGACCAACTTGAAAAAAATTTCCTGGATTCTATAATTGGCTTTTTCGAGTAGAGTGATCTAAAGTAAAAATTGTTCTAATCTTTATGTTGGATTCGTGATTACAGAAAGAGAGTAAGAGAAAAATGTTGTCTTTCCTTCAGCAAATTTATTACGTGCATATCAAGAGCATGCAAGAAATCGGTCACAAATAAAGTGATTTTGATAGTAACATATGCTTCTATTTATTTTTACAGAGCAAGTTTTCTCTACTAAGCCCACATTGGAGCTTGATAATAAAGTTTTCATATCCGGGTTTTGCTATCGAAACTATAGAAGAGATAAAGTAAATCTCAATTCTAACAACCCAATCCTTTGTTTCCATCCATCAGTCATTAAAATTAACCTCATAACTTGTCTTCAATTTTTTCTTAACCTTAGTTCATTCACTCATTAACTTATAATAATACATCTGAACTGACGTGAATATCTTTAATCAAGTTGAAATTGTTTTTAATTTAAGGTCAAATGATATACATTTTATTGGTGAGTATGTATGAATATATATTGTGTTGTGCAATGTCCCATTCTGTTGCATGATACACAAGGTTTTTATTCACAAGACTAACCAACTACCTGAATGTGAAGAATTATAATGGAAGAGATTCTTTCTATTGGCCTATCAAATCGAGAACGAACTGTACACAGCTATACGTATACGTATATTTAAACAATATTTTACCACCAATCGCATGTATCTCATCTCTTGAAAATGGGGCCAAATCTTGGTTACTCATCTGCGCTTTTCTTTCGAATCATATCTGATTGACCAATTATATCACCTTTTCTTCTTGAAAGAAAATAGGTTTAGGTCCTTTTTTCATATTATTTAAAGAAAGTGTATCAGTTCACTGGCTATTCTTTAATTGAATCTTCTCACTGATGTTTAAGACTGAAATTGATCAGTCTCTTATTATCAAATATGCATACTTAGCGTATTATTATTGCCTTAATTCACAAGCATTATAAGCAAAGTGTATTTGCATTTACAATGATTAAATTCAGTATCATAGTTACATAATTAAGTGAATTCATTAAAATAAATATATATTGACTAACTTACCTTATGAATTAAATAGAATCGAAATCTTTTATTCATTTGACTAAATCTCTTATTATTTTATGTTTGAAATACAATTTTTTTGTTTCTAGGTTAAAACATTAAATAAATATGTTAATAAATATTCTAAACTATCATATGATTACATAATGAAATGAGGTCATAATATTACTAATTACATTAATAGATATTTGAAAAATAGTATTCTATTTATTCGATTATATAACATAAATGGTCTTATGTAATGTTACTGAATTCAATTTCTATAATGTTAAATCATCAAAGTAATAATTAAAATGTACTTAATATGTATCTACAATATGTTATCACAATGGAATAAGAGTTACAATTTCACTTTTAAGATAATTTATCAAAAAGAGAACTTAATGATTCTCTATGAAAATTGATATGTGGAAAATCAACGTGGATTGTAATTACAATTGGTTGATCATCGGGTGGTGATCAGTGTCATGTGTGTCAAGTCCTTATTAGTGGAGATTGAATGCTATCGACCAAGTTGCAATGTGGCCACTAGTGTAGGTAACTCGACATTGCGTGCACTATGTTGAGATTAAATGGTGGTTGGAGGTAGTCGACATGGAACCCTGTCACCCAGCTTCACAGTCAGAGACGTTACCATTGAGCTATCCAGGCTGTGACCGACAAAGGATCGAATCCGTCAGGGAGCACCAGTTCCTTCAAGATTACAGGTACATCTTGCTGGCTAGTGCCAAGTAGCACGAAACCCAGGTCCAGGGTTTCCTGTCGACTATCTTCAATCACCATCTAATCTCCACCTGGAATGTCTCGTCTCATATGATCAATACGACCTCAGTCCCACTGAATAAAAAAAAACATAATCCTTTCTCTGTGTACTAGGACTACATGAATCTGTATCAATAAAATAGTTGACATCAAATTCAACCGACCAAATTATCTTTAGCAAAGAAATTAACTAAAGGTCTGATTACTTATCCTAGGCAAATG